TACAATACGAGTGGTTCGTTGTTTTTCATAATGGCATGATGCAACTGCCTTAATTTCCAAATATTAACTGTATGCATTTGCCCGACTTCAATGCGAATAATTAATGTGATCATGTTGTCTTGATAATGTGTTGATAAAATCTATAAAATAAAATAAACAAGGCTTATAAATAAAATCGTGTTTACTAATGTCGTGGACCCGTGGTCCAACTCCGGTAAGATCTAAAACTTAAGTACTTTAGATAAATTTACGTATCATTCATAAAAAGTTTAGTTACCCAATCGAATGATTGCCTAGGAATGTGGTTTGGAGGAACTTGATCCTCTATGTAATGTATTTTTTTTTCCTCTTTACCTTCATGGTTTATGACCGAAGGCTTATTGCTACTTGCACTCTTTTCTTTTCTATGTAATTTTTTAGTAAAATCAATACGACCAAAGTTTATAAAAAAAAAATGATTGGAATACTGAATTACGTATTATTAATATCGTACACTGAACACGAGTCAATTACTAGTGGGACTGAGCAAGCAGATCGATGTGAAATGCATAGAATTATTTTGTGTAAAAATTTAATATATTTTCTTATGAAATAGACGTGATATCAAATAAAGAAAGAGAGAAGAAAAAAGGTAAATCGGCTTTTCCTCGTTTCTTCTTAAGATCTTTTTTTTTTTTTTGGTGAAGTTTCTTCTTAGGATCTTTATTCAGCTTTTTTTTTTTCCTTCTTAAAATCTTTATTCAGCTTTCTTTATCTCCTATAAACAAACAAAAACAAAAATCATAAATAATCTCAGTCACTAGCCACGGCATAATCGTCTTTATATTACAGCTCCTCTGACCCCAAAGTCGCAGAAAGAGAGAGAGAACCAGAAGAGTCGTAGAGAAAAATAAACATATATATATTTGTTTCGTTTTCTTCATAATTTTTTTTTTAAATATATAGAAAAAAATATGGGATCGGAAGTAGCGGCCGTGGAAACTGTGCAGCAACCGTTACTAGAGGCAACGAAATCGGAAGTCGATTTTGGGATGGAGAGTGTGTTAACGGACACTCATTTGTCATATTTCCGACGGATTTACCTAGCGGCTTTGATCGAGATGAAGTTTCTCTTCCACCTTGCGGCTCCGGCGATATTCGTGTACGTGATCAACAATGGAATGTCTATGCTCACTCGTATCTTCGCTGGTCGAATGGGAAGTATGCAACTCGCCGCCGCTTCTCTCGGAAACAGTGGCTTCAATATGTTCACCTTTGGTCTCATGGTAATTATTATATACTTCTACTTACATTTTCTCTTCAAAATTAAATTCAAATTCAAAAATTTTAGTTACAGAAAACCCCAACAAACTAACGGATCTGATGAAATAACATCAAACGATAGTTTTAGAAAATTTAAGAGTTTTAAGACTCATCAAATCTTCAATTTGCCACGCCCATCTGGTTTATATCAGAGTCAAAATCTGCTTAAATAATCGGTTTAATGGGTGGTAGATTTTTTTTTTTTAATAAACACGTATTATAACCTTGATATATGTAACACAACAACGACAATAACATAACATAAGTTTGTTAATGTAAAATCTTTGGGTGATATCTGACGTTTGTTTCTCTATTTTACATGAAGTGCTAGACGAATCCCGCAAAAAGAAGATAAATATAACCCAAAACACACTTCTTAGTCATTCTTTGTTCTTCAGAATCTAACCGTTTTTTGTTGTGTCTTTGTCCAATGACACAGCTTGGAATGGGAAGTGCAGTAGAAACATTATGTGGACAAGCACACGGAGCTCACAGATACGACATGCTCGGAGTCTACTTACAAAGGTCAACGATAGTTCTACTTCTCACCGCACTTCCAGTGACTTTACTCTTCATCCTCTCCAAACCTATCCTCATTTACATCGGCGAACCAGCTGACGTGGCAGCCACGGCTTCCGTTTTCGTCTACGCTATGATCCCAATGATATTCGCTTACGCCATCAATTTTCCCATCCAAAAATTCCTTCAATCGCAAAGTATTGTCACACCAAGTGCTTACATTTCATCCGCAACACTCGTCCTTCACTTGATTCTCTCTTGGCTCTCTGTCTATAAGTTTGGTTGGGGTCTGTTTGGTCTCTCGGTCGTTCATAGTATCTCGTGGTGGATCATTGCCGTGGCTCAGATTATGTACATTAAGATGAGCCCAAAATGTCGCCGGACTTGGACCGGGTTTAGTTGGAAAGCTTTCGACGGTTTATGGGACTTTTTCCGGTTATCTGCTGCTTCTGCTGTTATGATTTGCCTTGAGTCTTGGTATACTCAAATTCTTGTTCTTCTCGCTGGACTTCTCAAGAACCCTGAGCTTGCATTGGATTCTCTAGCAATCTGGTAAATTTTCAATTTTTATTTTCATTTTCTAACAAATAACATTAGCAACCAAAAAAAAAAACAAATTGTATACATATACATATTGGTAGTAATAACCAAGTAACAAGTAATAATCGTGTTTTAGTATACCTCCAAAGCTTTTGATCTACTAGTAAATTTAGCTTGGATATTGATATTTACTTCAATTTCCTACTTTATGACTAACACATAATACTAGCAAAAATCACTATTTTTATGTTTTGGTAGTAATAATGTTAAAACTTTAGAGTACTTCCAAAACTTTTAGTCAGTCCATGAAATGTAGCTTTTATTTTAGTATTGAAAACAAAAAGTGGATGATGATTCCCTTAATTTATTTATTAGTATTAATTAACAAAGATTTAAGAACAATGAATCTGAACTCATAAGATTAATTAATAACTGGTTTTATTTATCATTTGTCTTTCCTACGGATACAATCCGATCAGACTTTTGAACTTTTTGTGGTTTCAGTAAAAATAATTGAAAAGAATAATTGTTCTTTTGTTTTCTGGCTACTTTTCGCGAAACTCCTTTTCTTTGAGAAAAAACACAACTCACGTTTTATACCTATTGTGATGGTTCTTGTCGTATAACTGACTAAAACATGCAAGTTAAGCTTTCCGTTAAAGCCAAAATTTGATGTATTCTTTTTATTGACGTTTCTTGTGAACACAAACTGCGTGTCGTTTTCCCTGATAAACAACGGCACGCACTTCTGTGCACGGGGACAAAGATCTTGATTACTCCATGACCCAAGCTATTAATTTACCACAGAGACATACATAATAATTGAGTGTACTACTGACTCTTTGACAACAACCAAAAAGAGAGGATGTTACTGACACTCTAGAAAACTAGGCCACAC